TTGTGGTGAAATCCTCCATATATTAAAAATAGACTTAGATGGTGATTTGTATACGAAATCAGCGTGCGCATTAGTGGTAAACTTAAAAATATTCAATTCTACATACTCCTAGTGAAGATATGGCTCAATGGTTTAAGCAATCGACTACCAACCAACGGTTTCAGGGTTTAGATCTCGTTGTACCTAATTTAAATTGCACAGTATCACTAATCATCACGAACTAAGTGTGGCTAATAGCCTGGAACACAGAAAAATATCTCGGATAACTAATGTCTGAAAAAGACACAACCCTATCTCAAAGAATGACAGAAATTCTGTTGATCAAGATCATGAAGCAGCAAAAAGCTACCTCTGGTTTGATATAAAAACTCAAAGACATCGACGGTCATCATAAGATTCCCTTAGATGTGGAATACTCATAATGAAATTCAACAGTGTACATTTCTATGTATTAAAACATTAACCGAATCTTGGAGATTCTGATATCCGAATACCTTATCTACACCAACCCATCTCTCAATGCAAGCTACTTATTCACCATTAATGACATTACAAGTATTGACTTTAGCACATGCTTATATCTCCTTAAATAATAGGAAATCCTAGAGGCGGTAAAGTAAATGGCGGTAACTCAAACGTAAATACTGATGAAATTTGGAAAGTGGCTGTATAGTCCCTAGGAAAAGATAGTCTGAACAGGGAGAACCTAAATGCAAATCAGCTATTTTATAACTATTTAGCCATTCATGAGCAAGCAAAATGCCCCTGAATTAATGAATCAGTGTTTAAGTCCCATAATATTCTTAACCAAATTTAGATGAGAGCAATATGGTTATAAATAGAAATTTTTTGACGTTGAATTAAATTTGTCAATTTAAACAACATGATAATTTGAGTCCTTGAAGTGTTAACAGCTGCCATATTGTATCCGAACACACACGTAGTCATATATGCACTTACGGAAGGTTGTCCATTGAGACTAAAGAAACTGGTGAATTTCATCAGAGATGCCCAATAACACTATTTTCAAATTCCTTCATATACGAACCGATAGAGGTGACCTTGGTCGACTTCAAGGTCTGATCGAAAAACTAATTACCAATAAATGGTGTTGTTGGTTTAATGTATGTGGATGATGTCCTCCTAAATAAGGATGCTGATAAAACTTAATAAGATTGCTATGAGATTTGTTCCTGTCAGATGATTCTTCCATTATACAGTGAATTCATTTGATTAAAGCACTGTTACTCACTGATGAAGTTTCGAGCACAATTTGTTGCTCATAGTCATATCAAGGTACTCACAAAACTTCTCAACTTCGTTTGTATAATCCCATTATTTCTTAGCCTTGGATATTATTGGTAGTAATATTTTCCATGTATCTGGAATTGGTCCTGAGCCATTACTGTCACACGCATTAGGTGCAGATTTGATGGAAAAAGATTCAATAGTCAATCACTCCTCACCCCATCTACTTATATTACTCTTTTCAGAATTGTAACTCTGTCCCACCCTATTGTGTGCTGATACATGCATTTTGATAGCTAATTTTTCTCTAAATTATTCGTCTTCGCGGGGCAATTCATCTTACACTTTGTTGAATTCTCATGTTCCGATAATCTGACCACCCCTGATCTACTGGTTTGACCTATGTAGTTGACCTTACAGTCACTGAAAGGTATTTTGCAGATTACATTATTTTGTCTAATTGGACCAATGGAGCCTTTTAAAGTACAAAGGTTGTCCATGAATGAGTTTGTAGGTTTAAATGCCAATCTAACTCACGCTCTAATAAGAATCCTGAGTAGGTAAAAAAAAACTGTTGGTGCTTTAAATTCTTTCTTATCTATATTATCGTTTCTGGTTTCATGATTATTTTGCTTGTGAGTTTTTGTAGTCTTCTCAATGAATTTTATGGGATAGTTAACTAACATCAATGCTTCTTCTGTTCGTTTTATTTCATCATTTAGGTTTTTTGATGTGCTACTTAGTGTTATCGCTCGGTCTGTTGAATATTCGACTGACTGCCTTCATGGATAAGGGATGAGATGAATTAAGGCCTTAATCGACGGGAAAATCAAAAATTCAATTCAATAATTAATATATGACCCGTTGCACAAGAGGTGGCTCTCGTGGCCCAAGTGGTCTAGTGGATAACGCTTTGGCGTTTGAAACTATGGGCACTGGGTTCGAGCCTCGGTGGGAACATCATCACTCACTGAGAAATGCAGGTACATCCAGCTGACGAGTCCCAATTAGGACGAAATGCGCTTTATCCTGGATTCCACTGCTAGCCACCATCCACCAATTGTATACCTATTAGAAGGCGTTGACTTTTTATAGACACTTTCCACTGTTCGTTTTATTTTATATTCTGACATAGCTAGTTTTCCTTTCCCGCTTTCTGATTCAAATGTAGATTTTATTCCCTCTGCTCCTCAGTTTATGTGTGTATTTGGTTTTAACAATATGAAAGTGTCTTCGGAGTAGGATTAAATGTGTTAGAAGCCATATTTTCCCAACTACTTGTAAAAGTATCAGCTACAAATGGGGATTCCTTCCTACCCTTTCTGTTTGTCTACATATTTTTTTTCCTTGAAATTTGAAGATGCAATGCATAACTGAATTGCTAAAATAATTTTTTCGATGGGTATCTATCTTTGTCCTATTAGCAAGTTCAGAATCAGTAATTAGTTCTTTTCTAACTGCTACCGAAATCATGCTGACTGGTATGTTGGTATAGAGATTAGTTATATCAAAACTAACCATTTTCTTCATTATTTCCTATTTGAATATTATTTAATTTCTTTTACATTTCATATAAATTAGTTGACCTAGAGCTTGAATGATCTCCGATAGGACACAACACTAATGTTGTGTTTAGATAATTCATAGGTACGCCTGTTTCAACTACTAGTCCTGTGGGGTAACTAGCTTTATGTATTTTAGTAGTAGCACATATCTAAGCATTAAACTATACCACTTAGACTTACAGAATCGGTCAAGTAAATATAAAGGTTAGCTGTCTTTGACAATACATATCTGCTTACTGTCCCTCATGTTCGGTGGTACAATATGGTCAGTAGTAATGAAATTATGCTTGAAGCTTTAGGTTGAGGAGGGATGAGATTGTAAAGCTGTATTAATGAGGTCATGAACTTCTTCGAGGAAGGATGTTAACTAGTATAGAATAAAGTTGGAAAAGAGTTATGAGTGGTCAAATCAAAACCTGACATCACACTGTGAAGTCTTTGACTTCTATATTCAGTTACGAAGAGGCGTATAGACTGCCTAGCTGGGGCCCTTGAGACGCCAAGGACTAATGATTGCTGATGTGGCTCCTTATGATTTTCCAGATTCGAGAATACTCATTATTTTTTCATCTGTATATTTATGTTTATTGTACTTTTGTTGAATTTTTTCTCTACCTTTATGCACTTTTGCAACGTCTAGCAGCTTGAAATGTTGCCTTTTCGTGTAGAGTTCTACGTCAGTCATCATTAAGATTGTAGAAATGCATCATTAATGACTTCCAGCCAAAAACCAAGGCAAGTAGGTCTGCGAATTCCCGTCAACTAATACCAAGCATTGAATAACATATGATGTTATACATGTGAAACTTCACGAAATGTAGTCAGGAAAATTTTTAAATGAAACTTTGTAGGTCTTTAATCTTTATGACTTAAAAGAATCTTAATATGAACAAGTCACTGACAATAAGGTATAGTGTTTTCTAAAATTGATCACACAAACAACATGCATTCAAGTCAAATCATATTGGAGTTATCCAAGTTATCAGAAACAGACATCCACGCTGAGTTCAGCAGGGAAGTATAAACCACCAACACACTTCCAAAAAATAGACTCAATCAAGTCTTTTAGTCTGCTTAAAAAGCAATTGTATCAACTTGAACAACAGCTCCGGAGAACTGAACATGAGATACGAATATACTTGGCGCATAACCATCAATCGCCCGTGAGATGACCATGAAACTTGTGGTCTAAATATTCATTTTTCAATTAATTTACAGACAAAACAAATTTTCCAGTGTTAGCTTGTAGGGATTTGATTGGAAACAGGATTTCATTGGTTAGAGAACCACTGGAATACCTGGGAGTACTGGGCAACTGTTTTGTCCTAGTTTGGGACTCTTCAGCAGTACGTACCCACCGCCAGGGTTTGAACCCAGGACCTTCTGGTTACAAGGCGAGCTCGTAGAGCATTAAGCCACTGAGACTTGATCCAGTGAATTCTAACTTCTGCAAATTCACGACATAGCGCGACCCCTAGCCAACTGAATTAGTATTTAAAAATTTACTATTATGCTGGTACACCTAACATGAAGCTTATTTCCGATAATATGTTGATACGTTTATCAAGTCAAGTAAGAAGTTAACTGGTTTGCAACAAGAGGACAACCTTTTCTGCTTATAATTAATTACTACAAATGTACGATTTCAGTGTGAAACAGTTGATCAATTCTGAATACTCAGTCGGAACTGTCTCTGAAATTCACTTCACAGAATATAAACAGTTTCTAGACACGCCAACTTTTACAATTATTTGTCAACTGATGAGTAACAATAGGGAGTTTGTTGAAAGCCGTCTGTCTGAATTCAATACAGAACTTGGCACCGAAGTGCACCAGTTCGAGTTGCCACCTTCCAAATAGCACACAAAGGTAGACAAGAAGATGAGTGGAGAGAATTAATAGAGTTTGACAAGTATAAGAGTGAAACAGGATGGGTAATGGTAGAAAGGAATATGAAAGATTACACAGACTGAATACATCTGAGCCATGTCACTTATTGTCTCCAGCCATTGATTCCTAGAGTCCCGAGGGCCCCAACCTGGAAGTCTGCATCTTCCTACCTTACTCAGTTTAACTGTCAAGGATTTCATGGATTGATGCCATGTTTTTGTTTGGCCATCACTTAATCTTTTCCAACCTGCATCTATATCAGCTAGTAATGCCCGTCGGGGAGGTGATGGTTAGGCATGCGCAGTGAAACACAAATGATGCTATGCCACTACGACGATAAACGAGTTATTACCACCAAATCACGAAGAACTACTCACACTTAACTGACGTCACAGATACATGACGAGAGAGAGAGAAAAAAAAAACAACATTTGATGAATAAATAATTAATCTCAAAATGGTGATGGATAAAAAAGTTAATGAAGTAAATGTGAACAATAAAATGATGGTGAAAAGTTATGATAGCTAATCTATATGTATGTGACAAAAGTCATGAATAAGCGAGGACAAAGCCTCAAAAATGGCATCATAGTATATATTATGTGATTCATCTTTTGAATGACAAATGTGGCCCACAGTCTGTCTCGGTTACACGTCATTGTTAATTCTATTGCATGGAATGATAACGAAAGTGTAGTGATGGCAATGTGACCAAACAAATCGAAGACCAAATGTCTGTTACGTTTTGAAAATTACGAAATTCGAAGTAAGAAATCCAATGAATTCATATTAGGCAAGAAAGGAAGTGATCCTCAAGCTCACTTCGTGATGCAAACATTTGATGGCATCCAGGACACCAAGGTTGCTCCTAAAAAAGGAAATAAAGAGAAAGTAGAGGTAAGTTTGTAAGTAATCAATAAAATATTCAGAACTGCCAGGAATAAACCAGTGTTATTAACCAAGGGAAATGATTCAGATAACACCTAAACCAGTAGAAGTTACTGCAAGAATAAAGAGGATCTAATGAACAGATCTGAAATGGAACATAAGTGGTAGCACAAATCGAATCACCACCCTTTGGCTCACAAATATAGAGCTATACAGACTGTATCACGAGGACCACTTGTTGAACAGGAGGCTGAATCTTACATCGACACTCAGGATAAAATATGTTTGATGGAGCATTTATGCTTTTGATGGTAAATAGCAAGCATACCTTTTAGTTTTAAACAACAACTTACTACGCAATGGAATACAAAGGAACAAAAAAAACAGCTGATTTAGATTCTTTCATAGAGCACAAACAGAAGACAGGCTGACAAAGCGTAACAATTATGATCGTCAAAATTACTGCACTACACTAAAACAGAAGTAAAGTGTGGAGGCATAAGAAATATGATAATCGAAGAGGAAACAACTATCCTGAAATTATACATCTTCAAGAAATTACTTTCAACTCTCACTTTCGGATAACTTACTTTGTGCTCATTCACATTGACTTATACACTAAAAATAGGGCTGTTTACTTATTTGTTTCCATCATAAAATCTCAATTGAGCCAAAAAGGTTAGTTCTATTTCTTGGGAGTTCTCAGTAAAAGTAAAAATATGACGCAACAATAATAATAATTAACTCGAGGTGGTGTAACTGGATAATATTAAATAAAAAAACAAACATTCATCGCTGAAAGCCGTGATATTCACGACATGTGCGACCAGTTTATTCATCTCCACAATACCTAAAAAATCCCACAACACAGAATTTGTTATCTGTACACTTCTCTCTACTCAGATCTGTTAGTAGATTCATTTATAAACAGTTGGAAAAAAGTTGGAAAAGTGCCACTGTGCGTCGGTGGCACAGTGGTTAGGACTCTCGCCAACCATGCACATGGCCCGAGGTTCGATCCCCTGCCGATGCACACCTGATTTCTATGGTCGGCCTGCGAAATTTAGGCTACCGATATCCATGCTGAAAATTCCATACTTGTACCAAAAATACAGCGGTAATCAAAAAAAAATCTATTTCGACTGTTTCGATAATAAACATCGAGAAGAACTAATCAGCAGGATGTCGAACTTGATGTACGCTTCACACATGTTGTCATCTAATCACAAGACTTAAAGCTAAGTTCAAATGCTGACGTGAAATCTTCATTTCAACAAGATTAAAAGGAAAATGAGATGATGATAATAAGCAGACAATTAAAATTTAAAGATGATAGTGTTTGTTTGTAGCAAACAGTATACACACTCGAAGACAATGTTACCTACATTGTTCTAATTTTTATGCAATTTTTCTAGATTCCCTATAGTTAAGAGCTGTATAAGAACTACAGGATTTTTTTTATACATGACAACTACTTAAAATGATGAGATACTAAAACAACAAAAATTGGTAAATTAGGGCGATAATCTGTGTTAATATACGTGCCCTGAAGTTGTATAGAAGTTGTAAATGACCTACCCTGTGAAGATATGACTACCAGTGTGGATTTACATGATTAAAAAGTGGGAAATTCATTAATAACGCATAGCAACCAGTAGTGACTTACTTCATCAACAGAGAAGCTAGGAGCAGACGGACGTTCCACTGGTTGATTGAAATTACTTTCACAAGGATTGAGACCCAGTTCACTTAACCAAGATCCATAATCCGAAGTTGTATTCTCAGGATTAGTTAGTTGTTGTATCTGACGGCGAACAAAACCACCAACAACGGGTAAAAATGAGGACATTGATGTTTTAGATTCAGAAGATATACCAGCAGTGCTATATGACTGACAATCAAAAATGTAATGTAGTCTAAATAAGAGTCAACTATAAAGTGGCAAAAGTAGTGGAATAATTTGTAAAGGTTAGAAAAAAAGGAGTCTCATTCAACCATATAAATAACTTTCGCAATAAGGAGTATTTTTAAAATGTGTACGGTGTTTTCAGTACAGTTTGTTAGCAAGGCACTAAATGTACAGTTGCGGAAATATGCACACTGCTTATAGAATTTGTTAAATAAATTATAAGTTACCGAAAGTTACCTTGATTGTCAAATTAGAATGATAACGTTGAATTTTGTACACCTTAGAATTGTTTTTGCAAAACAGTAGTGATAATTAGAAGCTAGACATGTACAGAACTCCCTAAGAATTCTGAGTAAATTTTGCTTTAATCCTATCATAAATGAAATTGTAGCTAAGATGCATCAATTACTTATGAGAAAAAACACCAAAATGCATAGGGTATATTACCAGCAATTGAGAATGAAGCTGGTAAAATTCTGACACCCGTAATCGAAAACAATGAACACTGAATGACTTTCGTCCTAGCCAAGGACACTTCAGTGATCTGGAACTACAACGTACTATGGAGTCGAGCCCAAAATTCTTTGCTTTTGCATAAAACACATTACCAGTATTCAGAATATACTATAAGCAGAGGCTGCCCTCAGTTGCTCACTGTGATTTTCAGTTAATAGTCGTCATGGAACAAAGTAAGTTGTAATAGAAACCAGATAATATACTAGATTGGCAATTAGTATAAACACATTGAAATAATCAGCTGTTAGTTAACTGTTTGGCATTAAACTCACATTAGGCAGATACAGAATAGATAAGATGCAAGTAAAACTGACTAAAAGATGATGTGTAATCCATGTGACTTAATACTGGAATTCATTATTATCATCAATCACTTCGCGCGCGCAAAAATATGAAGAGAATGATGTCAAATAAGGCTTTTTGTGAGCCTTTGCAAAAGTTTCTGACTGCAAAAACTTATCATATGAATTTCATACATTAAATCAGTGCCTCACAATTCTAAACGTAGTAACAGTCATCACCACAAATTTGAAAAATAAATCAAATTCATTTTTCATTTTATAACAACTTTGCATCAAACTGCAAGAACATTAAAATCGTAATTATTGAAGTGTCACCACTTCAGTGACGTAATTAAAAAAGCTTAATGAGGTGAAATAGGAATGTTAGGCAAACAAAAAGTGAAGATCACAGAGTTTAACTCAAACTGATGTTAATTGATGTTTGACCAAACGGTTAGTAATAATAAGACGAGAGCAAGAAATACGAAATGGAGGAATGTTTAAATAAGAGAATGAAGGGGTAACTATAGGATTGAGTTGAAGATAACTAAGTACGACTGTTATATAAAACAAACTACTCAATCTCCGACATTTTCAAAATAATTAAAGTCACACCTTGGTTGTTAGTGAAACGCAGTAGGATACAAGGCACATGTATTGTCCTGCATAAAATTCCTTGGTTAGAAACTGGAAACAATCTATAACCAAACAAGATGCCGTTCTATATCTCTGTCTAGCCATACTTAATCTTTCCCCCAACTCTTACGTAATCACCACCGAACGACACGCATGCGACATCAAAACATATTTAGAGGACATCTAAGTCATGTTAGCTTCAGGTTTACCCTTGTGGATGGCTTTTGTCACAAGGACTGTAAATGCGCAATATTGATCTCAGTCACTAGTTCACAGGTGTGCGCTACGAGCAATCCAGACGAAGTTACAGAATAGTGATATATGAATGAGATAGTTGTTAGAAGTATCAGTGTGAGATGAAGTCAAATCAATAATCACACTGAAAAACGATCACAAAAGTTGACAACTTAATTAGTTTTAGTGTTACTATTATTACAAAAATTAAAATACTGTTATTTCATTACTAATATATGATGGGAAGTCCGAGGATATAGTAGGAATCTGTGAATATTGCAAAATGGTCTCTTGACAGTTTTAAACGTCCGAACCTATAAAATAATCCGCCTTTCCAATAGTAACTGTTACATCTACGACATGTGTTCAGTTTGCCTGAAGAACATATACAATGACAAGCATAATGCTACAAAACTGCTTTCGGCTTACTTCCATCAACAGAGTATTGAATGAGAATTGTGTTTTTAACCGCTACTAATGAATTAAAAGCTTTGATAGCAAAGCTATAAAAAAATAGATTGTAAACATTATGCAACCAGTCTCCGCTACATGAGTCTATCCCATGAATTTACTAAACTTCTGAAAATATTCTTTGTAAGGTACTGATTTATTTTGATTACCCAGTTGACAGTCAACATAAATGAGTTGAGAACTATGATGTGACCGTATCATAACGAGTAGTTACATCAGCAAAACTAAGATCCACCTAGACAAGTAAAACATTCACTGAACATACCAAACACGTCCAGCAGTAAGGTAGGTATCTGTGATAGATAAGTCTTATGTAAAATGTACTGACTGACAATCATACACAGTCAAAGTAAAAATAGTTTCAATAATACATCTTAGCAATGACAAGTTATATGCTGGGTTATTCCCATTTCTCTTAATAACGGTGACTTATCACCACAACGAACTAAGAACTACACAATATTAGGTAGCCAATTTGACAAAACGAAGACATAATATACATACCTCTGAAATACTGCTAGTAAGAGATGAAGTCACATTTGTTTGATTCTGAATTGACACTGCTGAAGCTGCTTCACTTGTAAATGAAGGTGCTACATGCACACTTGACACACCACCAAGATGAAGATGTGGCCACAGATTTAAAGAGCCTGTTGAAGATGGAATTTCATTCGTAGGTGGACTTAAAGGTTGAGCAGATGGTGTCTTAGCCACTGGAGCTAGAAGTGAATTAATTCTCTCCTCAGTTTCCGAAGTTGTCGTTTCAGGAGCGAAAGAGATTGTATTTCTTTCATTTAAAATACGAAGAACTTCTTGACGAACAAGTTCTTTTACATCAATATTTTCCAGTGCGGATGTCTATTATAAAGGAATAAGGGAAACACACTAGTAAATATAACAGTTTAGATATAGAGAATTAGTAAAAACAGTTGATAAAGAAGTCTAACTTATTCACTAGAACATTTCCTATTTATTTACTATTTCAAGTTAGCTAAAGCATATATTTGAGCCACAGTAATGTTTTAGAATCATCAGCAGTACGCACCTACTGTGATTCGAACCCAGGTCCTTATAGTTACAAGGCAAGCTCGTATACCATTCAGCCACTGGGACCCGATTTAATGGCTCATGAATTCTAACTTCCACCAATTTGTGATTTAGCGTGACCCCAACCATTGTCGTTGGTGGGACATCCATCCTCACACGTGACATCTGGATGGACCTCACTACCGATGATTCCCAAACTAGGATAAAACAGCTGTCCAGTACTTCCTGATTTTCAATGGTTCTCTAACTGATATCAATCCGTGGTCAACTCGTAAAAACATATCTAACCCTTACAAGCCAAACAACTATAGAAAAAGTTGTAGAAATTTAAGAGCATTTGAATCTATTGAAAATAAACCTATACAACTGTGTAACTGTGAACAGATTTTCTAGATTACATGAATAAGAGGCGGTTAGGAATCCGGTTATAACCTTATGGTTATGACTACTGCCAAAATAACTGTGACATTTTCGTTATGAATTACACAAATAAAGCCAAACAGGAGAAGTGTTATTTCGGCTGATGGTCTCTAGCAGTGGAATCCAGATTTCCTCCTATTTGAGACTCGTCTTCTTGATGTACCTTCATCCATTCATCGAGTGATGGGTGAAGGGTTCAATTCTCAGTGGGAACACCATCACTCAAATGGATGCAGGTACATCCATCTGACGAATCCAAAGTAAAGCGAAATGCGCGTCTTGGATTCTGCTGCTAGCCACCGAAAACCATAACACCATCGCGTGAATCCTCAGACATCGTCGAAGCAGACGTACTAGGAATACAAATGAAGATTTCGGACCAACATGAACGACCAACGGGGAATTCACATCAAGTTTAACAAAACATAAAATCTCGGATAAAATGATTAATGCCAGTTAATGTGAAAAAGTTGCACTATCTCTAGAAGCTAATCGAATAAATTAGTATATTTTCCATCACAACAGTTCAAAAAGGAACGAATATCTTACTCAAGAAGTAAGATAAGAAAGTACATTGCTTGTGTAAACTATGTACCAATTACCAGGTGAATGTACTTCAGACAAAATTCTACGGACTTTCGTTAAATAGTAGGTAAGTGTTTTTATTGTATAAGAAAACCGACATTTTAAAAATCTAGAGTAGATAAATCCTTCAGTGTCTTTGAGCGCTCTAGTTAGCATCCTGAAATAGAGAATGAAAAGTTTTGCTATTATGGAGCAGCTAAATTTGAACTTTACATAAACTTTGAGTATCTGATTAGCTTCACAGGAGACTATGCCATCAACGTAAGTCAGTTAAAAAGCCTTTGAAAACCACGGAGCATTGATTGGACAGCTACCATGTTTGAATTCGAGATTCTTCTTCAGTGAACAGACTTAATGTGCCATTGAATTCCAACTAACTTTTTGAATGACAAACGTACGCGGCTGGTAACCTGAAAGTCCTGGATTCAGTCTCTGGTGAAGTAATGAGCGCGCGCTGCTGTAGAGTCCTGACTAGGATAAAACAGCTGTCCAATGCTCGGTTGTGACGAAATTGCGACTGAGACAATGAATATTTAATAATATAACTAACTCTGAGACGCTAGGGAATATTTGCAGCTCAAGATACGAAATTTCAGAGTGAGCTGAGGTTCCGATTGGTAAGCTTTTGGCATACAAGACGTAATCATTAAAATATTCCAGGAGGTAACAGTAAACAGCTAGGATTGAACTATGCCCACACAGTTATGGAATGACTAGTCAGATTGAAAACACATGTTATGAAATATTAATGCACGATGAAGATGATTCTTCTATCCGTAAAGCACTATGGTGATATGCTGAGCGACTCTGAAACGTCCGCCAACCAAAAGTTCAACTCACAGAACTCCAGTCAGAGTCAAATATGTGTGAATTATAAGGTGTACGATTGTTAACCTACCTGATCGACTGTCGCCTTTGAGAGGCTAGCGTAGGCTGGAGGTTCTAGCTGGCTTGTAGCATTAGTGGAAACCTGAATTTTTAAAAACAAAACTCAATTTGAAGAATTAGGAACATCATGGAAAAAAGTATCACTATAGCAGTGGTGATATAAAATTATCGAAACAACAAGGTTGGGGGGGGGGGCTGAAAAATGTGTGTGAAATTATCTGATGCCAACTACAGTGACATAGTCCCGGAAATTATTATTTGACATGAATTCTGGTACATGGTAGAGTGGTAGAAACAAACCAGGAATAAAGTGGAAACTTAAACATATTTTGGTTTCACAATTTTTCATGATTAGAATCTCTGATGGGCACTATCGACTCCCATGTTATGATAGTACAATGCATACGCGAATGTAGTATTTGTTTCACATTCAAAATAGCCTTTTAAATATACTCTTACAGACCTACATATTTCGACAGGCAGTAGTTAGATTGCCTGTACTCAGAAATAACATTATGTGAAATTCGATGTAGACTGTTGTATAAATATAAATATATGTCTGCGACGACCGCACTTTTCTGCAGTCCTGCGTTGATAATTCAGTTCATGGGCCAAAAGAATTGTAAATATTAAAATCATGTGTAGTCAGTGTCTATTCCTAATCCTGTTATTTAATCCAGATGTGTATCTAGTGGTATATATATATATATATTAGTAAACCCGGTTTTCGAATTACACAATACCAGTTTTAAAAGAAACTTGGAAGAAACCTGCGAAAATTGTCATGTCAAAAATACTACATTCTGTCGTATACGGGACTTGGATTTATACACACCAGTAGTCTAAATTACCAATGATAAGGTGATACAGTGTTTGCTCACCGTCAACTGTATCACTGTAATGACTTCGTAGACTTTAAGAGACCAAATCATTTTAATTCCTTTTGAAGGAAATACCCAGAGTCACTCATAAGTCACGGTATGACATCCTCTAACAATTACTTCGACGAAATCACTGCTACTGCACAGATACCCGTATAAAAATGTCATCTTTTAAAATCACACCAAACTACACTATGTGGTTACCAGACGACATTAAAATCGTTATTATTTTGTTTTAAGGGCTTTTCTCTCTACAGTGTTTACTGAGAATCACATAGGCTTTCATCAGTTTACAGGGATCGGTTTCAATCCTCTCTCCAATTTTCAAGTGACTTAGTTTTTTAACTAAGGAGTAGACACGAACTAGGGGACTCAATAAGAAAGTCATGACGCTGGATCCCCCGCCTAAAATGAGTTTACAATATAGCAAATACAAAATTAATTACGGTTACATTATTTAAAGAAATCATACCACAGGTGGTGAAGATATCTCAGCTTGCATCCATGCATCACACTTCGCGATTGAGCAATCTGTCTGAATACTATTGGAACTAACACCGTCTGTGCATTGTCTGCCACTGGAAACCTGAACACTGTCCACCAGACAGACAGAACTGCATGTTTCCGAAGTGCTTTTACTGACCACTAAAATACACGAATAACGTTAATTGACGAACTTAGAAAAATTTCTTTATAGGGTATATTTCAAACAATGTATGACACATACAATAAAATGTATTATTATTATTATTGTATCCTTTAGTTCCTAGAGGAACATAGGGCTTCAGCTGCGCACCTCCATTGACTTCGGTTTTCTGACAACTTTTTCACTCTGCTCCAGGTCTGTCCACATGCTTTCATCTCCTCCTCGCATGACCTCCTCCAAGTCACCCTTGGACGACCAACTCGCGCCTCCCTTTCGGGTTCCACTCGAGGGCTTGTCTAGTGATGTCACTTGATGGTTTGTTTCCTTAGAGTATGGCCAATCCATCTCCATTTCTTTCTGCCTATTTGTTTCACAATCGGTTCCTGATTGGTTCGCTCCCAGAGATCCCTGTTGCTGATCTTTTCTGGCCATCTGATCTTGAGTATTGAGCGGAGACAGTTGTTAATGAAGGTTTGAAGTTTGTTTGAGATGCTCTTTATGACTCGCCAAGTCTCTGATCCGTATAGTAGCACTGACTTCACATTGGAGTTGAAAATCCAAATCCAAATATACAAATACTGAATAGTTAATTAGTTGGTACTCATAACCAGTGCTAAGTTCACACTGTAGGTGGCTAAATTTCCATTCTAGAATTCAATTAGTCAGCATTCGCAATGCAGTAAGTAGATCTGAAAAGGATTAAAATCACTTCTTTGCATACCTCTTGCTTTACATTCTAGACTGATAACACGTATGAAGCAAAAAATCTGTTTGATGAAGTAAAGCCTCAAAAATTACAAACCACTTCAATAATCGCTGAAGATTTATAACTCAACAAATTCACATTTATCTGTGCCATTACTCGAAACGTTTCACGATAATGGCAAGTCCAAAAATTTACAGGTTTTACCTAGACCAAGTCTTTACATTTAATTGTCCGTTGGAACTCGATAAAACAAAGCACATCTTATATTGACCTGGCTTAAAGCAATACCTATCGTGTGAGCTCATAACAGAGACCAGTAGTGGAGGCTAAAATAGGTGGATGGGGGGGGGGGTCGAACTCGTGACACCCTGATTGGAAACTGACCCAAACTTATGCCTACATATAGATGGAGTTCAGCCGATTCTCTCCATTATCATAAGACAGCAATATGGAGAACATCTGAGGCCACGAATTATATTACAGTGACATGAGTTACTGATGTCAGGCAAAAAACACTTTAAGAGGTGTGCAATATGTAATCGTTTTTGCGCAGTAAATTTATGCGCCGTTTGAACACCCTATTAAAATGCGGTCCTAAGGTTGCATAATGAAGCCATCACACGCAGTTAACATTTCGACCAGTCTGCCAATAGACTGTTGTCATCTAATGTCCGGTGTAGCAAAAGACATATCAACATTAAGTATTATCCCAATGATGGCATGGTTTCCTTGGAAGGAAACAAAAGAGCTAACCGCGTACAGACTCGTCTACTAATCGAAAGCCATACAATAACTTTGCCTGAAATACTGTTTCTGTCACGCAATCGGATATATTAGATTCCATAAAGTAGGTGAGGATAACGTAGCCCGGCAATATCACCTTTCTTTATTACTATAAGTTACTTACAATTCGCGTGACGAGTTATAACAGTAAGTTTAACAAAAAGTATCCGCATCTTTAGGATAAAATATAACTGATAAACAGAAAACAGTCAAGGTATATGTTGAAGTAGACCGTCAAGAGGTGATATTTTTTATCTCAGAGACTGAGGCTTAAATGACCCGTATAAAGTACTCGACTAATTACCATACATATAAAATCACGAATACAACACTAGACATACTTTTTCTTGCAACCGGTTCCTTGTCACGAATATTTTGAATCTTTCCGTACATTGTAGTAAGGAAACTGCACACATCATCCACTGTAGAATCATCGCTTAAACTAGGTTCCACATCTGTGGAATCGACTTCTGACTTAGAACTATAAGAGATAATACAAGAGTGAGGGAAATCGAATGCAATGTAAAACGAAGCAAGAAAAACTTACGAAAATACTGATTCAAGTTCCTTAATACCAGCAGCAACCATAGATATGGGTTCAATGAGTTTTTTCCATTTCTAGAAACATTTGACGTTACATATAGGACTATTATAACCATACGCGAGTTTCAGCTTCCATTGTCCGTAACTGGTCATTTAGTTCCACTAACTCAGTCATAACAAACTGTTTTTCTTCATTTACAGCCACCAACCTAGAGCACAGCTGTTTGACATAGGTCTTTCGGACGTCATCTGGGCTCAACAACTGAAAGAAATCATTCCCACAGCTATTGAACATACTATGCTATCAAGCTGTTTGACTAAGTCTTCAATAGTGGATGTATGGTCCGGAGTGACATTCTGAAGTGTTACACTAAGAGCAGTTTGCAATTCATCTTTTAAGAGAATGCTGGACTGATTTAAAGTTTCTGCGAAAGATGAAAGAATAAGCTAAAACCTTACCGATAGTTTTTTTGAATAAATCAACTAAGACATCCAAACGAGCAATAGAATCCCGCTGGTTGTCATTTTCTTCGTTAACAACAACGAACTCTTCATTTGAATCCATCGTAGAAAAATTCGCAATTTCCGCCTTTAACTTTAGTGAGAAGGTCACACTACAATTGAAACCCTCAAAGTCCGTTCTAAAAACGTGATACGATTAAGGACCTTTGTATCTATTTAATATTTATTTTGGGTTCTGAGTATTATTCATACCATTTCCCATCATTTTTAAATAAAATTTTGCAGAATGCGTAGACTCTTAATACAGCCATTTCTGAAAATCAGAAATCTTAAATAGTGATGAAATGCATCCGTGTCTTTGACCCTGCAGCCTGACGTTACTGTCAAAGAGCCGACAGTATCCCTTGACCTTCTGCTAGATCATCGGTAGTCGACTTGTAATCATTGGTAGAAGTGTGGCAGCTAGCTGCCGTGTGGAAGAAATCTGAAAACCACCAGTTAATTGTGCCCTTGAGATAGAAAGATAGAAGTTATTTTTGAGTGTGTAATTAGTAAGCACACCAGTAGGGAAATAAGGTGGTGTAGACCAGCTGGTTTTTGTATCTCTTGTGTGGTGCTGACACCTTGCTTCACAGTGCACAGAAGAGACAAAGGTGGCATACGAAGATAGTCTGAAAAACTATACAGAGTGTCTGCCCGGAGTAACAGCTTAGGGGCTAATAAATACTTGTTCGAAAACAGCATTAAAATAGCCTACATAAAGATTCGAATTAGGTTATTTACAGGCCGAATTATGTAGGCTGAGAGGCGTCTCTCGCAGTGGAAGGTCAGATCAGACCCACAACGATGGTTACACACAATCTGCCTGAACTGGGAACAAGTGATGCGATCACACAGTAGTATTGCTGACTAAATTCTAGAAGAGTAACTAGGCTAAAAACTTGCCTATTCAGTAAAGCCATTGTAAAGCCATCGCCTGATAAGAGAAGATCTGGAATGGTTACCTTAGCCACAAGACTACCTTTCATCAACGACCGACGGTAGGTGGATGGAGATGGAACAGGATGTCAGGAAGACCATCGATGATTACATACCTATGGCAAATACTAGGACACGAAATTGAGCTAAAGGAGTAAGAACAGTCAAAAAGTGCTTCCTAAAGTGTAGAAGATGGGTGTGCCACTAACGGAGACCATACGACATAACTAGTCGTGTGAGAAATCTGTGTAATAATAGAGAATCGATGTAATGCTGAATTTCGAGTGGATACGAAGACAATCCAGGAAAATCTACACAAGAAACTGCAAACTACCTCCCGTAATTTGTACTGATTCACGGTTATGCGAAAAAGGACTGGTCATTGATTGTGGGGTCAGAAACTGCAGCTTCAAAACCCTTGATAATCTAGTGACTTCTTGAAGCCTTTTTTGATGTATATGAAAAACAGCCGAACGATGAAAAAAGTTTCTTCTAACAGCGTACGAAGCAGACTGATTTCGCATAGATTACTCCTCATTAAATAAATTCAGTTTTACAGATTTGATAAACCTCTCATCCAGACAAGCCCTCAAGATGCGTCGAAATCAAAACTGTGTTTCATGTCCGCGTCTCCTGCCTACTAAAACTTTAGAGTTTTTAGATGTGTCTTACCGATAGATTTAGTAGGAAGTGATTTTATCAGCTTAACAAATTTCGAAGGCCTAAACAACTGTAACTCTGCTGTCAACGATTTGAAATTTGGAGGTGGGCGTCCTAAATTAATAAAATCAGGGAACATCCGAACAAAACCAACATACTGAACGAAGCTCAACAAGGATTAATGAAGGAGGAGTGCAGAGCCACCAGTTTACTCGCAGCCTGAAATAACTAATGGGGTCATAATACCAACGCGCGCGCCTTTCGATTCAGTGCGTTACTTTTTGCAGTAATCCATAAAACTTTCATTTCTTTTCTATTGCTCACCACGAAGTTCTTACAATTACTGAATTCCGTTGACTTTCGAATGCTTAAACCCTGGATTTACTATTATTGACTACTAATACCTATAACAGAGTTTTCGGACATTTGTATCTTTTAAAAACAATCCATACGTAAAATTGTATATATTATCGGATTTATATGTTCAAGTTGGCCCAAGTCAGTGATCTGTGATTTTGGTATCATTTTAGTTAACTGTGCTGAACTATATTGCATGTTGTTTTATTGTATCGTTGTTGTCGCTTTTTACCCTTTTTGCTGTGAATTGTTTTCCTTTTGTTGGTGTTGTTCTGATTGTTTTATCCCTTGTTATCTGATTTTAAGGGGAGCAACCCATAAGGTAACTTCTCTCTAAACTGTATCTTAATGTAACCATTCCTTTCTCAGGCGTGAGGCTAGCAACCCCACCCTGTAAACAAAATTGCTACAGAAACTTCAGCACGATGAACCTCTTTGCACCAAAAGAAAAAGCCTGTGTGGGGACATGGAACGTCCGCACTATGTACGAGACAGGGAAAGCTGCCCAGATCGCAAACGAGATGAAAACATGAGGAATCCAAGTGCTGGGAATATGTGAAAGCAGATGGAACTAAAATGGACTCATAAAATTGTCAACGGGTGAGTCAGTGATATACTCCGGTCACCCAGAAGATAACCAAACGCACACCGAGGGCGTGGCTATCATGATGTCACCAACGGCAACGAAAGCCCTGATGCAATGGGAGGCGAACTCGTCCAGGATAATAACCGCCAGATTCAACTCCAAAGGAAGGAAAGTGTCAATCATACAATGTTATGCACCCAAAAACAACGCAGACCCCGAAAATAAAGAAGAATTCTACGGACAACTACAGGCAACAATGGACAATACTCTAGCTGGCGACATTAAAATACTAATGGGAGACATGAATGCCAAACTGGGACCAGACAACACAGGAAGGGAACTCATCATGGGTAGAGAAGCTCTCGGAGAAATGAATGAAAATGGAGAACTCTTCGCCGACTTCTGCGCCTTCAACGAACTAGTGGTTGGTGGCAGTGTATACAAGCACAAAGATATCCACAAGGCTACATGGGTGTCACCAGATGGGCAAACCAAAAACCAAATTGACTTCATCTCAATCTCAAGGAAGTGGAGGCGCAGCCTGCTGGACACAAAAGTAAGAAGAGGAGCAGACGTTGGCTCAGACCACTATCTCGTACAAGGGACAATCCAAATCAAACTAAAAGCTTTCAGAGAAGGAGGAGCTGCAGATAGACCACAAGCCAAGTTCAACACTCAAAAGCTGAAAGATCAGGCTACAAAGAACATCTTCACTGCAAGCATAAGGAAGAAAGCGAAGACACAAATCAACACTGACGAAGAGACCAGCGTTGAAAATCACCGGGAAAACCTGAAAGCGATGTGGAGTCAAACCTGCATGGAAGTCCTAGGCAGAAAGAAGAAACAGGACAAGCAGTGGCTCACTACAGACACATGGAGACTAATAGAAGACAGAAGGACGGTGAAACAAAAGATCATTCAGTGCATCGACGAGCAACAAAAACAGGAGTTGAATGCAAGCTACAATACACTGAACAAAAGAGTAAAGAAGAGTGCCAGGGAGGACAAAAGGAAATATTATGAAGCCATGTCAAGTGAAGCAGAACAAGCTGCAGGCAAAGGAGACCTCGCCACACTCTACCAAACAACTAGGAACCTATCGGGAAAAAGTTCGAAACAGATTAAGCCAGTGAAGGATGCAAATCAAAAATCAATCACCAAAGAGGTGGAACAAAGGAAATACTGGGCTGCACACTTCAAAAGACTTCTAAATCGACCGCCATCTACAACGCGCCCAACAATACCAACAACGGAAGCAGAACTACCAGTGAACATCGACCCTCCGACGAAATCAGAGGTCCTAAATGCAATCAAGATACTAAAAGCTGGAAAAGCGGCAGGACCAGATGGAATCCAAGCAGAAGCATTGAAAATGGATCCAGAGACAACAGCTGACTTGATAACACCACTGCTGGAGAAGGTGTGGAATTAGGGCAAAGTACCCGAGGATTGGAAGAAAGGATACTTATTCAAACTACCAAAGAAAGGAGATTTAAGTCAATGTAAAAACTGGCGCGGAATTATGCTCCTGTCCATTCCAAGCAAAATACTAAGCCGCATCATCCTGGAGAGAATCAAACAAGTCCAAGATGAAAAACTTCGACCCGAACAAGCTGGATTCAGAAAAAACAAGTCATGTATTGATCAAATCGCCACTCTACGTATCATCATTGAACAAAGCTTGGAATGGCAGTCACCTCTCTATCTCAACTTCATCGACTTTGAAAAGGCCTTCGACAGCGTCGATCGAGAGGTCATTTGGCAACTACTTCGCTACTACGGGGTGCCATCGACAATTATACATCTCATCCAACAGTTGTATAACAATGCTGCATGCCAAGTAATCCACAACGAGAGAATTACGGAAGCCTTCGAAGAGAGGATGGGAGTGAGGCAAGGCTGTCTATTATCGCCAATGATCTTCCTGATTGCAGTAGATTGGATAATGAGACAGACAACGGGCAATAAAGAAACAGGCATAAAATGGACTCACACAAAATCTTGGAGGATCTGGACTTCGCCGATAACATATATATGTCTGATTTCCCACAAACTGGAAGATATGCAAATGAAAGGCAACAAGTTGGCAGAAGAAGCATCCAGAGAAGATAGGACTTCAGGTGAACATGGAGAAAGCTGAGGTGATGAAGATTCCTGGCCAACACCAACAGCAGCAACAACAACTGACAATAATCATCCAGCATAAATGGGAGGAACCTGAAAGAAACAACCTCCTTTACCTACCTACCTACCTGGGAAGCATCGTTTCAACTACAGGCGGACGGAACTGACGAGGATATCAAAGCAGCGAGGATAGGGAAAGCAAGACAAGCTTTCATTACTTTCAAGTCTGTGTGGAGATCAACACCACTCCTCACCATGAAAAATAAGATCCGGATTTTCAACTCCAATGTGAAGTCAGTCAGTGCTACTATACGGATCAGAGACTTGGCGAGTCATAAAGAGCATCTCAAACAAACTACAGACCTTCATTAACAGCTGTCTTCGTTCAATACTCAAGATCAGATGGCCGGCCAGAAACGATCAGCAACAGGGATCTCTGGGAGCGAACCAACCCAAAAGGAATCGATTGTGAAACAAATATGCAGGAAGAAATGGAGATGGATTGGCCATACTCTGAGGAAACAAACCATCAAGTGACATCACTAGACAGGCCATTGCTCGAGTGGAACCCGAAAGGGAAGTGG